GTCCCGAGTGCTTTGTCCTGCGCCCTGTCTGCATTTTGATTGCTCTTTCTGCCTGGAAACTTAGAAAAGTCCATGGCGTCCAAAAAGTGTCCCTTTAGGTCAAAATCGGTTTTAGACCGGCTAGAGAACAGCGATAGTAAATCAGAACCACTTGCAGAATTGAGTGATAAGGATTTGTGGAGAAATTCATCATCAGACACTGAAAACAATTTTGCGACTTTGCTCAGCGATGTGCGAACTTGGCGCTATATTTCAAATTTCAGTGTTTTTGGTTTGATTATATTATTGAATTAAATGTATGATTTAGAATCTTGTTCAGACAGATTTCAGTGAGTTATTCCTAAAAATTACAGCGTACAATAAAAAAACGACATATTTCCATGCAAAATAATGGTACCGCTTTCAGCACCAAAAATATGAAATAATCATACCGCCAGGGAGGTTAATACTATAACTCATGCAGTATTTTAGTAGCTGAGCGGTATCTTACTACATGCTCAGATGCGGTAAGATACTGCTCAGTAAATTGTCCCTGTTTGAAGTTTGCGGTCGAACTTTCAGTATGTTCGAATGTTTGACTGCGAACCGAACAGTGGGGTGTTCATCCCATCACTATATGTAAGATATAAAAAAATTAAACCCACTTTTGCATTACATTTAGTACAGCCTTGTATTATAATTTTGAGAATATTACTCTTGTCATAGGACAGCGCATACTCTTTATTTATCAACAAAGCCATGAGATTATAGGGCCACACCACTATTTCAGGGTCCAAAAAAGAATCTATTTCATCAGCACAGTCCAAATAAAATGAATTACAGCCACTGCATTTCAGGTCTTCCAAGTGTCCCCTCTCATCAGGGCTAAAACAAATACAGAAAATGCAATGCTGATTAAACTGATATAGTTTATTAAATGTATCCACAAATTGGGGTAGTGTGAATAAAGTACTACATCTTCTAGAAATGAAATCCGATCTATGAATTGAAGGGGGCAGAGCTGTCAATCATCCACCCGCCCTCCAGTCATAGATCACAATTCATTCATAGAAGCTGCATTAGGCTTCTGTGAGTGGAGCAGCTAGGAGGAAAGTATGGGCATAGTCGGGCGCTCTTGATGAGAACCTGTGACAGCACCCTTTGTTCTTTTAGCCCTCGCAAGATTACGGAGGCAGGGGAGGGGAAAATCAGAGGAGCAGGATATCTGTTAAATGAGGACACAGCAGCACAAGGAGGAAAATCCGTAAAGATTAGTAATGTTCATTGTGATTTTTTCTTTGTTAACGTAAACTTAGACTTTAGCATAACCCTGAAGGTCTCATGGCAGAAACATCAAAATTCTAATGTGTCTAAAAATATTACAGTATATCTAAAAAGTAGCATAAAAATATCCAATACATTGTAAAAGCACTTCCTGATATACAATACAGCTCTGTATTTATACTTTCACTTACCATCTGGTGACATCATAATGTACTACCAATGCATTCTATAATGCTACTGTATCACCTTGTGCCAGTGACCGTACTGTATGGTATACAGATGGAAAGTAGATTACCATTGTTAGAAAAAGATGGAGCAAAAGCTAAAAGTGAACTACTCTTTCGAGAATAATAATCTGGATAGTCTTTAAAAAAATTATAAATTCGGTATTCTCAGATGATTGTTAGGTTAAATAAGGAAATGTTGTATATTGCCGTATTAAACTTTAGTGATCTCTAAAGCACCGTTTTAGGGATTACATTTGTTTGAACAGAATCATGCTGTGAAAAATTCTTTAAATAACAGGTTATTGAGCTTAATAAAACACAATGAACACAATAAGCTTCAATTGCGTTATGGGTATTCTAATGACTACAAATAACTAAAAGAACTACTAAATTATTTGTGCTTTAATAAAAACAAACCTGTTATTATTTAGGAAAACTTACAATAAGGATTATACTGACTGTATTTATTAACACTTTTAAATGATAGCTTTTACATTTGACATTGCTTGGAAGTGCATAATTATTGGACTACACATGTAATATTTGTATACCTTCTCTAGGTAAATGTTAACCCTCCTTCCACCCCCTCCAACCTCTTGTGCACTCATTCCCCTATTAAAAGAAAAAAAAACTTGACTTACCTTCTAGTTAAATAATCATCCAGAGCAAGGGCGGACTGACAACTCATGGGGCCCCTGGGCAATAGGGGATCATAGGGCCCCTGTGTCTTTGCCCAAACTCAAAAAAGCCTATGAAAAAGGTACCAGGGGCATCTCATGGGGCCTCCTACTGATCCCGGGCCCTCGGGCAGTGCCCGAGTTTCCAAATGGTCAGTCCGCCCCTGATCCAGAGTATTTTCCATGAGCAATGATTGAATGATCATATTGTTACATTTTGATACATGTGTGGGCACCTTAGAGTTATTTATTAACCCTTTATCCCAAATTCATAATGTCCTCCTTGCCCTGATCATCCTTTTTTTTCCCTGACCATGCCCTATGACAAGAAAATCTTTCCAGGCTCAGTTTTATTTATCACTTGGGAGGTTCTCATGTACCAGCTCCAGTAGTGCTTTGGCTTTTGTGCCCCATAGGGGCATACAACTTCCCGCAACACAGTGAAAAGTCTTTGCTTGAATCAAACAGTATTTATTTATTTTTATTTATTTTATTTATTTCAGGTACTTATATAGCGCCATCCATTTACGCAGCGGTTTACACATACTGTATATATGTATTGTACATTCACATCAGTCCCTGACCCTCAAGGGGTGTACAATCTAAGGTCCCTAACTCACATTCATACATGCACATTAGACTTCAGCTGGTTCTGAAGATTAGATAAAGTCCTCAATGTACACAGTTCCAATTTTTGGAGTATCCCACTCATCTCCCTCATCCCTATGTCAATTCTTCAAAAATTAAAAAACAAAAACAACACCCCCTAGACTGGTTATTGGAGAATCGTGTGAATGAGCCTATGTGCCTGGCTGCGAATCAAAGTAACTGGGGAGGACTTGGACAGTATTCCTGTGGCTCCTACGAGAGTAGTGCTCCACCTTTATTCCAAAAGGAAAACAAAACCTGTTGCTGTAACTGCCTAAACAAGTATTAGCAGGAGGTATCAGCTGCTAATCTAAATCTTCAAATAGTAAATACAAATTACTCCTGCGCTTGGGGGTGAACTCGGTGTGACTATGGATCCATAGGAGAGATCCTGGATGATTAGTATATTATTATTATACAGGATTTATATAGCGCCAACAGTTTGCTCAGCGCTTTACAATATAACGGGAGACAATACAGCAACAATACAGTTCAATACAAGAGGTTTAGGAGGGTCATGCCCCTTGGAGCTTACAATCTAAGAGCGAGGGGCTAGTGGTACAAAATGTAGTAACTGTCGGGGATGAACTGATAGGAGGAGTAGAAGATTCCATTATTAGCTGAGGGCAGGATAGGCTTCCCTGAAGAGATAGGTTTTCAGAGATCGCCTAAAAGTGAGCAGAGTATGCGATAGTCTGATAAATTGGGGTAGAGAGTTCCAGAGGATGGGGGAAGCTCTGGAGAAGTCCTGGAGATGAGCATGGGAGGAGGAGACAAGGGAGCTAGAGAGCAGGAGGTCGTGTGAGGAGCGGACAGGACGGTTTGGGTGATATTTGGAGACAAGATTGGAGATGAAATTTGGGGCAGAGTTATACATGGCTTTATATGTTACACGCCTTGCTGCCCACAAAGGACCGGGGGAAGTCCAGAACACTAGATACAAAGAAACAAAGAAACAAACTAGGCCGGTGTGCCCTCTGTTGGTTTCTTTGCAGCTAATCTAAATCTGCCAGTGCATCTAATACTACCTGTCAGGGCTCCCAGGTGTGACCAGAGGTGTGTGACCGACGCAGGGAAACGCAGACTTCAGATATGTGATAAACAATATAATTTATTAACACTAACCATACAAACATAAACGCAGTGCAATACTAAAACATAATACAGTGCAAACAAACCAAACCAACCACCCACAGATAACAGTACATACAAGCAAGCGTCGTCAGGCAGGCCGGGTCAATATCAATAGGGCAGGTAGGTACAGGGGGAGCAAGCGGAGATGGGTCGGGGTCACAGGCCAGGTTCAGCAGGTAGCTAGCAGCGTAGTACAGAGGGTCAGGCAGAGGGATGGTCAGGGTCACAAGCCAGGGATCAGAACAGGTAGCAAGCAGCGTGGTACAGAGGGTCAGGCAGAGGGATGGTCAGGAGCGAGCCGGGATCAGAGCAGGAGAAGTCAGCAGCGGTTCAGATCGAAAGGTTGAGCCTCTGATTGCTGGAGCACCCGCTGGCCAGCCCTGGTACTGCAGATCAAAAGGCAGGAGAGTCCCACACCATTGTGGCCAGTCCATTCCTGACAGTACCCCCCCCTCAAGGAGCGCGGCCTCAGGACGCTCCAAACAGTCCTAGCTGGGCAGGCAAAATGTTCCACCGCCCGGGTCTGGTAACTGGCGGGGGATATCAAAGACTGGCAACACCGGGCAGGACTCCGGGCAGAGGCACATCGGGCTGGACTCCGGGCAGGCACATCGGGCTGGACTCCGGGCAGAGGCACATCGGGCTGGACACCAGGCAGAGGCACATTCATCGGGCTGGACTCCGGGCAGAGGCGCACATCGGGCAGAGGCACACACCGGGCAGAGGCCATCGGGCAGAGGCACACCGGGCAGAGGCACATCGGGCAGGGACTCCGGGCAGAGGCACATCGGGCAGGACTCCGGGGCAGAGGCACATCGGGCAGGACTCCGGGCAGAGGCACATCGGGCAGGACTCCGGGCAGAGGCACATCGGGCAGGACTCCGGGCCCTCAGAGCCAGAGGCACATCGGGCAGGACTCCGGGCAGAGGCAAATCGGAATTACCAGCAAAGGCAGCAGGCAGCGGGCCACAGGCGGACTAGCAGGAGCAGCAAGGCACCGGGCCCCCCGGGCGTAGCAGCAGGCACCGGGGCCCGGAGCGGAGCAGCAGGCACCGGGGCCCCCGGGGCGGGGCGACAGGCACCGGGCCCCCAGGTCGGGCGCGGCGGTGCGCCGGACCCCCAGGCGCGAGGCCGACAAGGCATCGGGCCCACCAGTCTCGGTATCGTAGGGCGCGCAGGACCCCCAAGGTGGAGCGCGACAGGTCCTCCGGCCCTACAGGCGCGTTAGACGGGCGGCCGCCGTACCCCCAGGTGGAGCTAACAGGTCTCTGGCCCTCAGGCCGGTCAGCGCGGCGGGCTGCCGGAAACCCCCAGAGTGGTAGCGACAGGTCCTCGGGCCCTCAGGCGGCAGCAGGCGGTGCGCTAGAACCCCAATGGTGGAGCGACAGGTCTCGGGCCCTCAGGCGGAAGCGGCTGGCGCCGGGACCCCCAGGTTGCCAGCGACCAGGACTCGGGGGCCCATAAGGCGGAGAGCGGCGGGCGCCGACCCCCATGCAGAGCGACAGGGCACGGGCCCTACAGGGCGGAGACCGGCGCGGCGCCGGACCCCCAGTGTGCAGCGGACATGGTATACGGGCCTCAGGCGGAGCGACAGGTCCTCAGGCCCCCAGGCGGGGGCGGGAGGTATGACAGCGGGCCCCGGGGGACCAGGCATCAGTATTTGGGTCGCCACGGGGACCGCGTCATCGGGAAGGCATGGGGACCCAGTCACCAGGTACACACGGGGTCTGGTCAATTGGCACGATAGGGGGACTGGATCAGGTACCGGATCACTGGATAACAGCGGGCATCGAGTCAATGGCCTATAGGGTCACCGGCTGGATCAGTTCATCATGCTGGGTAAGGCATCGGTGAATGCCGCGTCCGGCTGAGTAGAGGGGTTCAGGTGAGTAGAGGCTTCAAAACTGAGTAGAGGCTTCAGGCTGATAAAGGGTTCAGTGAGAGAGGCTTCAAAATGATAAGGGTTAGGGTGAGTAAGGGTCCGGGCGAGTAGAGGGTCAGGGGCCCAGTAAGGTTTAGGCCAGAGAGGCTTCAGGCAGAAGAAGGCATCAGGCTGCGTAAAGGGACAGGGGGGTACAGGGGATAGCTGATAGAGGGTTTGCTGAGTAAGGCTCAGGGTGAACCACGGGAAGGGAGGTTCACCGGTTTTTTTTATACTGGGAGGAGGTATTGTTGGAAAGAATTTTTTGCTTTTTTTTTGGTTTTTAAAAAACTGGGGCCTGCAATAAACGCATCGCAAACGAATGGAGCACTGGAGACAAAAAGAACTGGAGGATGGAAAGGAAGGAGCAGTTCTACAAAGGGGTTTTTTTTTCAGGGTTAAAGCAGGGTAGGTGCAGCGAGTGGGAAAAAGGGGACTGACATGCGGTAATAGCCAAATTAAATGGGGGTGTAACTGGGGAGTTTTGGGAAAAAAGGAGTAGAGTTTGAGGAAATAATAAACAGGACTGGTCTTTGAACTGACGGGGGGCTGGGTGCAAAAGCTGTCCATGCGCGTAGGTTTAACAAAGCTGAGTTACACAAAACCCGTCGGGCAAGACTGACTGCTTTATTTTCAATCTCTTAGGTCTGGGGTGAACATGTGAAAAAACCTCCGAAAGTAACCCCAAACTCCCTTTTAACACACCAGGGACTCTCCCGGGGCTGCACTAAATGGGGGCAAAAATTCTCCCCGCATTCGGGAACCCGTGAAACCACTCAACACAAAACCTTTTAAACAATGGCTGCACCCTAGAGAAATCTGTGCCCGATCTACGAACATGAGCGGCCGTATACATTCTACAGTTCATCCCGGGATACCCTTCAGAGTTAAAGCATATTTCCCGTCATCAAATAGCAAAATAAATACTCAACCCCATCCAATCCAACCTTCCCCCCAAAAAGCAAATGGGTTCCCTGGCAGCCACTTCTGGGCAGGATTGGCCCTTTGGGGTAATGTCAGGGGTCCCAGGTGGCCAGAGGGGTGGACTGACGCAGGGAAAGCAGACTTTAGATATTGATAAAAAAAATAATTTATTAAAACTAACCATACAAACTAAACGCAGTGCAATACTAAAACATAAACAGTGCAAACAAAAAAACCAACCACCCACAGATAACAGACAACAAGCAAGCGTCATCAGGCAGGCCCGGGGCAAATCAATAGGGGAGGGAGGTACAGGGGGGAAACAAGCGGGGATTGGGTCGGGGTCACAGGGCCCGGTTCAGCAGGTACTAGCAGCGTATAAGGGGGTCAGGCAGAGGGATGGGGCAGGGTCACAAACCAGGGATCAGAACATAGCAACACGTGGTACAGAGGTCAGGCAAGGGGTGGTCAGGAGCGAGCCGGGATAGAGCAGGAGAAGTCAGCAGCGGTTCAATAGGCAGGGTCGCAAAAAGGGAAAAAAACAATGCGGGCAATACAGGGGCCCCGGACAAAAACAAACACCAAGGGAGAGTCGCAAGTCTGGGCCCCCCTTAAATACACCATATCATCAGTTCCAGGGGTTTGCTGGGGAAAGGTTGAGTCTCTGATTGCTGGGAGCACCCGCTGGCCACCCAGGTTTCTGCAGATCAAAAAAACAGGTGAGTCCCCCCCATTGCGGGCCCGTCCCCTTCCTGACACTACCCTCTCCCCAAATTAAAAATGTCTGTCCAATGTGTCTCCCTACGTCTCCATTCAGAATCAAGACACCCTAAGACAGAAAATTTTTATTGGGGTCACCAAGGGAAAAAAAGGAGTAAAAGCCTAAAAAAGAAAAAGAATGCACCACCCCTTTTTAAAGGAAAGTTATACACAATATGAATGTAACAATTTAATTCCCGAAAAGGCTGTAAAAAAAAGTGACTTCCCCTTTTAACTAGCAATGTCAAAGTGTTGTCACTTTCAAAGAAGTCTCCTTTTTATACGAACATTTTTAATAACTGTACCCTTCCGAAACATTCCAGAATTCATTTCTGAAAAAACCCCGTACGGGATCTTTGTTGAGGCACATTGGGTTTCCGGGATTCAAAAAAATCTTATCCTTTTTTAAAGGGATTTTTTACTTTTTGGGAAAACTAAAGTCACAGGGTGCTAAGTCCGGGGGGAAGGGGGTTTTGAAGTTTCAAAATAGCCGGAACTCGCCAATGCTTAACTTTTA